GGAGGATGAGGCCCAGAAATCAGGATTTTTAAAAGATTCCCAGGTGATTCTAATGTGCAGCCAAGGTTGAGAACCACTGTCTTAAGGGCTCTTGCTTCTTCTAATAAAATCATACTTTTTTGTTTTGTTAATCCTCACCATAAGATATTTTTTCCTTTCAATTTTTAGAGAGAGTGGAAAGGAGGGAAGGAGAAAAAGAGAGAGAGAGAGACAGACAGAAACATCAATGTCAAAGAGACACATCAATTGTTTGACTCCCACATACACCTGGACTGGGCCAGGGATCGAACCTGCAACTCAGGTACGTGCCCTTGACTGGAATCAAACCTGCGACCCTTCGGTGCTCGGGGCCGTCACTCTAAGCACTGAACAACACCGGCCATATTGTTACTTTAAAACACCTAAACACACACTTACCCTGTGATGCCAGATGTAACATAGTCTTTCCCCAAGTAGTTATAACCATGGCGAACGAGGTCTTCACACACATCCTTCACTTTACTGCCTCCAAAGGCGGTGCCGTAGTGGAATCTGCCATCTAACACGCCTGCCTTGCCCGCCAACAGCTCAATTAACTTTCCCACCTGTGGGATGTGAACAAATTAAGCGAGTACCTTCCTGTGGTATAGAAATCCTGTCTCTTTATTTAGCTCTGGCCTATTTCCCTAAAGAATTATGAAACTACTACTATTAATAAGAGTGATAAATTAATAGTAAATATTTATCTCTCTCCTACTGTGTGACTGACTGTTAGAAAAGCTTGACATGTGTGATCTAAGTTTATGCCTCCCAAACTGCTAGGAGACAGGTACTATTATTTCCCTGACTTTACCTATGAGGAAACTGAAGTACACAGAGGTTAAGCAACTTCCCCAAGTCATATAGCCAGTAAATGCTGGAGCCAGGATTATAAAACAATAACCATAGAAAGGAAGATGCATTAGGTTCAATACAAAGGGCTCTCTTTTCTGAGGGGTAAGTTTGCCACCCAGAAGACTGCTCTCAAAAGGAAGGGCAAACTTGCTCCACATTCGCTCTGTAGAGGAGAGTCGTCCAGCATTGTCAGGAGCTGAGAACCTAGTTATTTGACGAGGGGTCAAAGGGCCCTTTCTAAATATCAGTTTCAGGGTCCCATCACACCCACTAACTGCAAACCAACTGCCAGCTTTCTTCCTTAAGAGCAGTGCCTCTGAAAACCATCCCGACCGTCATTCGTGATGGGAAGCCGTGAGGGTTCATGATGATGTCCGGACAGATGCCAGAGTCACAAAACGGCATGTCTTCCTGAGGGACGATCAAACCGCAGACACCTGGGGGAAGAGAAGATTTCATGCCACGTAAAGCAAACTGGCAGAAAGGAAGAATACAGTAGTTAATTGGGCCCTCCCTGCCGCCATCTCTATTTTTACTACTCTCAAACCTGCCCCACGGTCTCTATCAAGAGTAACAAAAGCAATTTCCAATAATCCCGCTAGATGAATAGTTCAAAAATGGCTGTCCTTACAGAAAGGCAGTGCAGCCTGTGGCCTGGCCTGCTGGCACGACACTCAATGGTGCTGTCAGGCAGCTCACCCAACCTCTCGTGCCACTGAGATGGAAGAGCAGCGACTTCACTGGGTCCTAGCCCCGTCAACGTCCCTGAAACTTCAAGTCAGCAGCAATTTCACTCCTTGTCATCTTGTCCATGACTTGCTACACATTGCACTCAAATCACAGGAATCCAAGTTCTCTGACCACCAAACACAGAACTGATTGAATGAGGCGTGTGTTTAAATTATGGTTTTAAAAACCTGTGACAAGAAGTACTCGCGTGTGGCTGACGTGCTGATGGGACTACCTGTTGGCTGCAGAGTGCTAGCTGGTTGGCTGATTTCTGCCAGGCTTCCCTGGCTGAGTCTAAACTGCCCTAAAGAATTTTAATTCCTATAGCTTATAACACATTACAAAAGTGATCTTTGATTGAAGTTGTAAAGTTGAACAATAAAATTAAATAACAAAGTATTCTTGGAAGAAAAGACTAAAATTATAAATGTATCCGAAGAATGAAAACAGAACAAAACAAAAATCTACCAACTCCACACACCACTAATAGACTCTTAAATTAACTGTACTTTATTACTACTTTAACAGTATTCTAACTTGTAGGAAATTTTTTTGATTAAGTACTTGGTAATTCCTCTTACATCCTTTTCTTGGTAGGTGGAATAGGAGTATAATTTAGATTGTTAACCACAATCTATATAATCTAGAATTGAAAAACTATTATTCAATGGCATTGGACCCAAAAAATGCTTTTATATTTAGTAAGATAAAATTCCTTTTCGTGTGTATATAAATTATCTGTACCTATTGAAAAGAAATTGCTCTCAAAGAAACTTTTCATTGCTCAGTTTGATTTCTACATACGCAAGAAATCAAACTTTTAAAATAAAAGTTTGGTGATGTTCAAAGAAAAAGAATGCCATTTGCCTATTTAACAATGGTTATTAATACTCTGATTTCTAGTGGTTGCCAACAATATGGCAATTAGGTTTGTGGATTTGAATTCCATTGTATGTAGGTAGTTTAACTGGCTTTTTGGTTGAAATTGCATTGTTTATTATAAAGAAAGTATGCTTTCCTACACGAAGAGCAGAAACATTCAGTTCGCTTTATTTCAAATTCAGCTACAACATGTTAGAATTTAAATCAAGCACAGTGTGTGACCCTCATCTCTTCCCTCTGAAACCCATCTTGTCCACACTGAAATTATCTGACAAAACACTAGGGCTACTAGGAAATCTACTCTGAAAGAGATGAAATTGTAAATCTAGGTGCACAGATAACAACACTGTTTGGCAGTGAACAAAACGGTTAAAAATAGCAAATCTTAAAGAGGCCAGTGGTGGGATGTGGCTGGGTGAGAATGCCATTTTGGAGGGTTCAGCTACATCCCTTAAAAACAAACCAAAGAAAAACTTCAGCACCCCTCCAGCAGTAGTTCACAGGGGATGGATGCCTGCGGCTGCTAAGGAGGAAGCTGCTTGTTTACCCTCCAACAAGAGAAGGTGGAGTGAGGGGCAGGAGGTACCAAACCCAAGGAGGAAGCAGGGCATACTTATACTGGAGGGGGGTAAGGAGAGGGATGATTTGCATTTTCCATTTTCAATTTTAGCCAACAGGTTAATTCCAGCAAATGTAACTTTAAAATGAAAGCAATGCTCTTTCCCCTAAAATCCGAATTTCTAATAACTCTGCTTGAAATCTGATTAATATTTAGCATAGAACTTCCTTTTGGGGAAGTTATTTTCTAACTAGCACTTTTCTGACATTGCACTTAAAACTACATATAAGTAACTTTCAGATTTTTTTCATTCCATTAGAGGAACTGCATTGGCCACATCTGAATCAAGGGCACCTGTAAGCCAAAAATTAAATCTTAGCTAACTTAAAATTACTTTAGGCTCTGAAACCCTTTTATATGCCAAGATGGTTCCCATAGCAGACAGCCCTGTGTTGTTTGTTTTGTGTGAAAGTGAATGATAAAAGATCCATGAAATCGACACAGAAAGCCAGAACAGCAGAAAGAACTGAGGGCTCTCCATCATTGCGGCTTCTACCCTCTGCTGACTTGCAGAACAATGGAAGCTACACATCCAACTGCAGATCTAACACAGCTGTGCATTTCATTAGATGAAGAGCACTAGTGACACAAGTAAATAATTAACTTATTCTGGTCCGCTGACTGTGCTTATGAGACCAGTCATAGCTGACAGATTTTAATACAAGTTAACACAAAGAAAACATAATGAGCTTAGAAGTTAAAACAAAATATTTAGACAGAATTTGATGATCTCAAATCTCAAATTAGACAGATGATTGTTAAAAGTCTGCATTTTACTGAATCCATTAGGGGAGAAGAGAGCTCTCAATCTCAGTCCCAAACTTTTTTTTTTTTTTTAAGAAATGGTATTCTCTGTTTCAGAATTATTCAAATCCTTAATCATAGCAGGAAGCTTTCTTTTATTTTCAAATAAAAAATTGTAATTTATTTCCAGGGACAGAGCATAAAATCTCTTTCTATAAATAAACTCTTAAAGGTTATAGTCACTTTTCTTTAAATGCTGGTTTAAAAATGTAAATGATATGCAGTACACCTCAGTGTGTTAATACTCCCTGGGTCCTTGAAAAGATGATGGACTACAAATAAACCATATCTAATGGAAGCTGTTGTAGAACAATTACTGATTCATACCTTAAATGCTTACACAGCACTTCAGATTTTAAAATAAAATTTCATCCCCTGGCCCATGCCTGTGTCTCAACCCCATTGTATATAGCACAACCTCCTGGCAATGAAATGCAAATACAACAGTTTAACAGGCCCAAAAACATTTAATGCACTTATAGGGGCCACTGGGAATTAGACCATAGACTATAGTACAAAATTTTAACAAATGAAAATAGATAATAAGGAAAAACTGGCACACAAAAAGAGCAGAAAGGTTCTATAGAGACCCAGTCAAAATAAAATTATTCTATCACCATCCATCTTATTTTCAAGTTGTAAAGGTGAGACTTTAGGGAGTCTAAAGAAACTACAAGTCTGACCGCCAAGCTGCTCAGGAAGGGCAAATTTGGGGACCCACTGTCACAGCTCCCTCAGCGTCATGCCCCAGACACTAGAGGCTCTTACACCAATTTGTTATTTCTATTTTCATGGCCTAGCAGAACAACATATAAATCACTTAAAGAATAGGTTTACCCAGCAAAAAAAACAAAAAAACAAAAAAAAAGTTAATCTGATGAATCATTCTTAGAAAGTGTTTCTAATTATAAACAGCAACTGACTTGTTCAAAAGTCTTTTTTTAAAAATTAGTTTTAGTGTAATGGTCCTATCACAATTCAAATAGAAAAAAAGAAGGTAAGGATGTAATAAAAATGGTAAGGAAAAACTAAAGCATTCTAATACCATATCAAGAAAGGAAAGCAACTTAATAACAGAAGACAACTTAATAACATCGCTGATTCAAGAGATGTTCTGATGGGACTTCAATGTTTTAGCCACCCACAAGCAAATGGTTTTCTACTTTGTCGACAGCCAGGTCTCATTTTAATATCACACTGTTTCACTTTTTAACTTAAAATTTTTTTCCTTTAGCAAGTCTACCTTCCATAAGCACTTTGGGATTGAATGTACCACTCCGAGGGTGATATATGTTCTCACTCTTCCTTTTTTGAGCGAGAGAATCATTTCCCTCAATTACCAAGCATCTGCTATGTGACAAGAGCTGTGATGGAGGTGGGGACATATGAAGAGGCTCAGAGATACAACTCCACTTGAGAGGAGGCCTGCACAGACTAACCTGACTGAATACTGAAAATGAAAACATTTATACAATTCAGCTTGCCACATTCTAATGCTCTGCTTTCTGCAAGCACCTGTTAGACAAGGCTATTTATTCTGCCCAGTTTGACACTTTGCACGAAATGAAGGGTGAGATGCTGCTGCGATTTTTCTCTATCAGTCACAGTGCAGGAGGAGGACTGATGTTTGGTAAAGGAGTGATCACTGTGCAATGCCTGGTCTTAATGAGGTTCATAAATGTGTGTGTGGGGAATGTCATCTGTAAAGGACTCATCACTTCTTGGATTCTCAGATGTATGTAGAGCGGGAGATCAAGGAATCCGGTGACCTTAATTTGACTCTGTGCTGCTCCACTGACATTGTGTTTCCTAGGGGGTGGGGGGAAAGCACCACTTTCTGGCAAGACTTAGTTGTCTGGTCTTTGTAATGGGGATAATTAGCACCTATCTCATGAGGCAATTGTGTCAAAAGAACAGATGAGAGGTACTAATGTCTGAGAGGTACTTTAAGGTCCTTAGAGAAAGGCGGCATCTAAATTCAAGGAATTATTATTATATAAGAAACCTAATTATTCTCAGCAGGAAGCAAACTAGCAAAGCGAAGGTGACCAACTCAATGAATGGAAGAATCAAGTGCAGTTGCACTAACTTTGGTTGAAGAGCTGCAAAGAAGCTCACTCTGGTTGGGCTGTGCAGATAATTTCACACGACCAGGACAGTGTCTCCTAATAACTTAAGAACTTCACAGGATTGGGGCTGAGGATTTCCAGTGTGGAGCAGTTTACTGCTGATGAATATAGTGGTAAATGGAGCCAAAGAAGCAGCAGGAATGCTTTCAAGTTTGACTGTTCGTATTAAGCAAAAAAAATGTTTTTGCTTTGAATAAGCTCATCTCCATAAGCCTTTATATATTCAGAAATGTAAATCTCTAAATCAAAACGTGAAAGCTAACACAGGTGGTTA